CCCAAGAGTGCATTCCGTACAAGGTATGGTCACTATGAATTCCTAGTGATGTCGTTCGGGCTTACAAATGCCCCCGCGGCGTTCATGGACCTCATGAATCGGGTATTTCATCAATACTTGGACCAATTCGTCATAGTGTTCATTGATGACATTTTGATATACTCCAAGAACGAAGAAGAACACGAGAAACATCTAAGGCTCGTACTTGGAACACTGCGGGAGAAGCAACTCTTTGCCAAATTCTCTAAATGTGAATTTTGGCTTGGGGAGATCGGTTTTCTCGGGCACGTGGTATCAGGTTCGGGCATTTCAGTTGATGACTCGAAGATTGAAGCAGTCACTAATTGGGAGAGGCCCAAGAATGTGAAGGAAATAAGGAGTTTCCTTGGTTTAGCGGGGTATTACCGCAAGTTCGTGGAGAAGTTCTCCGTAATAGCATCTCCACTCACGAAGCTCACAAAAAAAGGAGCTAAGTTTGTGTGGGATGACAAGTGCGAGAAGGGGTTTCTTGAGCTAAAGAAACGATTGACTGAAGCACCAGTACTTGCCCTACCCGTGCAAGGGTTGGGGTATGACATTTATAGCGATGCTAGCATCCAGGGGCTTGGGTGCGTACTGATGCAGTCGGGTAAGGTAATTGCTTATGCTTCTCGGCAACTGAGGAAGCATGAAGTGAATTACCCCACACATGACCTTGAACTAGGAGCTATGGTGTTTGCTTTGAAGATTTGGAGGCATTACCTCTACGGTGAGGTGTGTCATATTTATACTGATCACAAGAGTTTGAAGTACGTGTTTACTCAGAAAGAGTTGAACATGAGACAAAGAAGATGGTTGGAGCTAATCAAGGATTACAACTTGATTATTGATTATCATCCAGGTAAGGCTAATGTGGTTGCTGATGCTCTCAGTAGGAAAAGTTCATCAGGGGTCTTACTCACATGCTTACGAGCGTTGAGGGCACACGTGGAGGTATCCACGAATGGGGCCTTATTGGCCAGATTTGAGGTGAGACCCACCTTATTAGACGAAATCAGAACGCGTCAGGGCAATGACGAGGAATTTCAGAAAATCCGGGAACGGATGCTGGTGGGACCCGTCGAGGGTTTCCGTGAGAGAGAGAGGATGGACTCCTACTATTCAAGGAGCGAGTGTGTGTGCCGTCAGATGAGGAGCTCCGAAAATCTATTCTTGAGGAGGCTCACTCATCTGCGTATGCCATGCACCCAGGTGGAACAAAGATGTACCGGGACTTGAAGGAAAGTTACAGGTGGTCGGGGATGAAGAGAGAGAGATTGCTGAATATGTGAGTCGTTGCCTTACCTGTCAGCAGGTTAAGGCAGAGCACCAGCACCCGGCAGGGTTATTACAGCCACTTACCATCCCAGAATGGAAGTGGGAGCATGTTACTATGGACTTTGTGGTAGGTCTGCCACGGACGGTTAGGAACTACGACGCAGTATGGGTGGTGGTTGATAGGCTGACCAAGAGTGCCCATTTTTTACCTATCAACACTACTTATACGCTTGAGCGACTGGCCAAGTTGTATACAGATAAGATCGTGAGACTACATGGGGTTCCGGTCACTATAGTGTCGGATAGAGACCCACGGTTCACGTCACGGTTTTGGCCTAAGTTCCAGGAATCCATGGGGACGAAGTTGAGATTTAGCACAGCATTCCATCCTCAAACGGATGGGCAATCTGAACGGGTGATTCAGATTTTGGAGGACATGTTGAGGGCATGTGCCCTAGAGTTCCAAGGGAGTTGGGACAACCAGTTGGCTTTAGTAGAATTCGCCTATAACAACAGTTATCAGGCAAGTATAGGCATGCCTCCATACGAGGCATTGTATGGGAGGAAATGTCGGACACCTTTATGTTGGGATGAGGTTGGCGAGGCCAAGCTCGAGGGTACTGAGCTAGTTGAGATCACTAAGGAGAAGGTGAAAGTTATCCGGGATAGACTAAAGGCTGCCCAATATCGGCAGAAGAGCTATGCAGATAAGCGACGAAGGACATTGGAGTTCGAGGTCGGCGATGAGGTATTTCTGAGGGTGTCGCCTTGGAAAGGGATCATCAGGTTCCTTAGTCGGGGTAAGCTTAACCCACGTTACATCGGCCCATTCAAAATCATTGAAAGGATTGGGGTTGTGGCGTATCGACTTCAATTAACTCCAGAGTTAGAAAAGATTCATAATGTATTTCATGTTTCTATGCTCAAGAAGTATGTACGGGACCCGTCACATATTCTTGAGAAACCACCGGTGGAAATCCGGGAAGACCTTCACTATGCGGTGCAGCCGGTAAAGATCATGGACCGACAGGTAAAGAAGCTAAGGAGCAAAGAGGTACCGATGGTGAAGGTACTTTGGAAGAGTGATCATGTCGAGGAGCAAACTTGGGAAGTGGAGACCCTGATGAGGGAACAGTATCCATTTCTGTTTGACTAGACACGTGGATTTCGGGGACGAAATCCCAAATAAGGGGGGTAGAACTTGTGACACCGCCCCCAAGTATTTGTACTTTATCAAATTATGTATGGAACCCAAGAAATGAATAAACGCATTTTACGTGATTGTGAAATTTTATCATTTCTTTTACGTGAATAGTAAAATTCACGTGGGGCCCACACCGGAAGTGGGGGCCGCCCGATATTATCGGGACCACATATTATATTCATTTGGGTCAAGATAATATGTGTATAATGGTGGATAGCCGGGTTGGGCCATAGAAGTTATGTGAGTAACCTTTTGGGCATATAAAGCCCATTTATCGGTACCGAAGTGATATCAGATAAAAAGCCATAATAAATTATGGAGACCATCAAATTAAAAGTTGGGGAATATACATTCTATCTAATGGCCAATAATAGTTGGAAGAATGATACATATTTCATTTGAACCGATAAAAATGAAATATAGCTAAAACAGTCCAGAAAATACAACTTTCGGGACCAAGTGTACACTCGGGGACATAAAGGGATGACCTCCCACATGAGTGGGGGCCACCCCACGACCTTGAGCTGCAAAATATCAAGGGGATCCGCACCATATCAAGGGGAAAGAGGGTGGAAGTGATTGGAGACCAAGTTGATAGGAAAAGGGGTCCCTCTCCCCCATATTATTGATGAATGAGCCAAAAGAGCTATTCACAATCACCCCAGCCCCTGTCCCTCGTCCAGACCAGATGCATTGAGGAGAGAAGGTCTGAAGAAGACTCCATTTCATCCTCCATACACGCACCAAACCAAGAGGAAGAAGAAGGAGGAGAAAAGAGAAGAGAAAAGAGGAGTTTCGGGTGGAGAAAGCTTGTGGTTAGCAAGGTAAGGACTTCATGAATCCCATTTCTTCTCCTTAATCATATTTCACACTCCTAGGATAGTTCTACGCATGTAAAAGTGTAGAATGGGGGTTGAAGGGTTGGCTCATACCCAAAACGAACCTTGAGAGACAAGTTGACGGGTTCACCGGAAAATAACCTTTTAGAGGTTATTTGTATTGATATGGGTTTTATGATGATAAAACCTTGTTATTAACTTGTATAAGGTATTTCAAGAAATTTCACGGAGTTGAAAGGGTCGCCGGAGTTGTCGCCGGAGTTGGTTGAAGTTCACCGGAGTTTTACCGGAGCTCAATAAGGAAGGCTAGAACTTCATAAGCTTCTTTTAAGGTGAGAAGACGGCTATATGCTTTATAACTTTTGATTGAGGCATGAGATTACCTAAAGTAATCAAGGATATGTTTTACGGAATGATTAAAGTTAATCAAGTATGGGCTTATGCTATGATTATATATAAAACAAAGTTGAAAGGCATGTTTTGTATGTTTGGTGATTAAAAATGTGATAACTTATTATGTACAATGATCCAGGGGTCAAAAATGGTATTTTTGGATCAAGGACTTCAAGTAGAATGTGCATATAAAATTTCACGTTAATCGGACTTCGTTTGGGCGGTCAAATGGGCGTTGACCGCCGGGACAAGGGTGATACCCGACCGGGTAAGATGGATACCCGACCGGGTATTGATTAAATTCGGCTCCAGAAGCCACTGCCACACTAGACCCGACCGGGTAAGGTCAGGGACCCGACCGGGTCTCAAGTAAAGTCAGTTCCAGGGGCTTCTGCCCGGCCCTACCCGACCGGGTAAGGTGGATACCCGACCGGGTCTTGGGTTATACTCAAAACGGGTAGTTTTTGAGTAGGTTAACGTGGACCGATCAGGTGGGACCCGTCCACGTTGGTTACTAAGGATTATTATATGACTATAGGACTAGGTATTGTCCATAGTTAAGTGAATGCAAGGTTAGCCATATCCAGGTTAGGGTTTGGTTAGAAATGAGGTTGAGGTTGAGTATCCTCGGGACGGTAAACGATCCTAAAACTCGGTGAGGTTGAGTATCCTCGGGATGGCAAACAATCCCAGAAACTCGGTGAGGTTGAGTATCCTCGGGACGGTAAACAATCCCAGAAACTCGGTGAGGTTGAGTATCCTCGGGACGGTAAACAATCCCAGAAACTCGGTGAGGTTGAGCATCCTCGGGACGGTAAATGATCCTAAAACTCGGTTGAGGTTGAGCATCCTCGGGACAGTAAATGATCCTAAAACTCGGTTGAGGTTGAGCATCCTCGGGACGGTAAATGATCCCAAAACTCGGTTGGGGTTGAGTATCCCCGGGAGGGTTAACTGTAACACCCCGATTTTAGCGATCTAGTTACTTTAATCTTTTATTTTATTTAGTCAGTTAAATAAGATTATTGTATGAATAATGTGATTTATTGTTTGATCATGTGTTTTTCTGGCAGGTAACGTTGACTGGTAAGCTCTAATAATTTTAAGTGGAGAAAATAAGTAATGTTTTAAAGTTTAATCAGTTGATTTCGAAATAGAAAATACTTTTAATGTGCTAGATTTCTTTTTTTAAGAGGTCATTAGAAGCCCAATTCAGTTAATTTGGCCCAGATAAATGTGTTTAGGGCTGAAATCCCTAGGAAGACAAAATAGAATATATAACCACCGTAAACCTTTGAGGATCGGCTCTTTTCCTTAGCTGCTACCGGCCGTTTCTTTCATCCTGGAATCTTTCTTTCCAACTCTCAAATTGTTGGCCAAAGATTTAATCAGATTGTCGTTCTGCATCCTTTAACAAGGTAAGCTGAATTCCTTTTCCTCTGTTAAATTACCTCCGTCTCTTCTTTTCTCTTTGAACTCTTAGATTCTTCCTCCCAGAATCATTCAGATTATAACATCTTCAATCAGCTATGATTATTTCTTTCTCTGTAATCGTTCTTCCTTACCTCTGTGAGTATAGATGATGGTGGCTGAGTTTTTTTTTTTTTTTTTTTTTTGCTATTATAGTTTGATTAGAGGCATTTTAAACAGAGATGCGAATTTTTGCAAAATTAATCATTAGTTTAAAATTTTATCTGCAGCCTATTCTTCCACTACGTGATTTTATGATTTAGCAGATTTTATCCTTATTTTGGAATCAGCATTTAACACCTTAGTGTTTTAATTCAAATTTTGACTTTAAAGGGGCTGGTTAGTTCGGGTGTTAAACTAAACTTTAGTTTAGTAAACTTCCATCAGTTAATATGAAGTAGCCGTCCAGCAGTCAGTATTTAATATAGAAAATTTTAGTTTGTTATTAATTGAGAAAGTTTCAGTTTGGAGTTGATATGGAGAGTTTTCAGTTTTTGGTTTAATTTAGGTTGCACCAGTCTGTAAACTACATAAGCAACGTGATTTCTGAGATGGTGCACCTGCGCACATAGTGATAATTTTTATTTGATCTTAGCAGTAAGAAAGGATTTTCTTCCTCCAGTAAATTCTAATTATATTGTATATTTAAGTTGAGAGTTTTAAGAAGAGCTTACCGGAGGACGTTATCAAGGTGCCGCACTTATTTGAGTAATTTGAGTTCAGCTCCTAACAGGTAAGTTCACTACCACCTGTACATGTTTGTTCAACCAAATGCAAGAAAGAAGTCTGGTTGATTTTTAATAGATAATTTTAGACTATTTGCTATTATGTGAACTATGTGAATTATGTGATGAGTTATGTTATTTGCTGGATTAAATTATGTTTATTATCTGGCATAATCAAGATTTGTCAGTACTTTTGTTTCAGAATAAATGATATTTTTAGTCAAACGTCACCATAAAAAGAACTAATATTTAAAGTGAAAGATCAGGTGATATGTACTCGGGAACAAGTTCCCTCAGTTTATCAGTTATCAGCTTATCAGTTTCAGAGAGTCCGATATGTTTAGTGGGTCGCTCCCCTGAGCTGTCGGATTGGCGCCTTTTGAGTACATATCACGGGCCCACAGTTAAAATTAGCCACAAAGAGTTTACAGAAAGTTGTTTTGAGATCTCTTTCAGAAAGTTTTACAGAAAGTTGTTTATGAGATCTCTTCAGAAAGTTTTACAGAAAGTTGGTTATTAAGATCTCTTTCAGAGTTTTACAGAGATGTTTTTCTGAAATAAATTTTGAGATCTCTAGCAGTTTTGAGAAAATATTTTAGGAAATGTTTTCCCTTTGAGATCTCCCTCAGAATGTATTTGAGAAGTTATGTGTTAGTTATTTGTTCAGTGCGTGCTTATAGCCTAAATTTATCTATTGATAAATTGGCATAGACTTCTAGATATTTTTGTGGATCTATAGTGACTTACTAAGCGTAAAGCTTATCAGTTTCTTTCTTCGCATGTACAGATACTAAAGGTAAGGCCAAGGCCTAGGAAGGTGATGAGAGAGTGGAACGCGTGCCAAGACGAGTTACGGGGACGACCTTGGCGGCTTCCAGCTAGCTATTATTATATTTCAGTATTTCAGTTCTTATAGTTAAGAGATTGTTATTACTTTATTTTATTTTATTTGAGGATTCGAGTTTGAATAAATTCCTGGATCCAGGTGGTTATCACATTTGCTAGTGATAACTAGACTTTATTGAGTTTTTATTTGGAGTTAAATTTTAGCTACATTTGAGATTTTATCAGGGTTATTTCTTAAACAAACGGCCGTTATATTGCAGTTTATTTTTAAAAGTAGTATGCTAGTGTAGCGTTCCCTTTAACCCTGAGAGGGGCGTTACATGTTTGGTATCAGAGCCTAGGTTGTCCCGTAACTTCATCTGTCACCGTACACGTGCTCATCATCTTCCAAGTAAGTATTTTAAGTTAAGTTTTAAATTTCTGTACATGAGTAAGAAGAATTTATTAGATAGAAAGCAGTAGTGAGAATGTTTTGTTTTTTTTTAGTATTGTGTATGGCACATAAATAAAAGTTTATATTTAGGTGCCTTACGAAAATGAGGAGAACCCGTGGTCGTCCAGTAGGTGGCAGCAATGCTCAAGGAAGCAGTAATGAGCAAGGAAACAATCACGAGCAAGATTTGGCAGGTATTGTAGCGCAACTTCAAAGGCAATTGCAGGAGCAGCAACAAACTATTGACCGATTGACCGCGAACAATCAAAGGGGCGGTGGTGAAGGAGGAAATGCTGGAGATAATCAAGCTAGGAGGAATGGAGCACCGAGGCGAGAACCACTAATGATAACTTGGAGGAAGATCAAGCCCGCAGATTTTGAGGGGGGTCCCGACCCTCTAGCTGCTCAGGGATGGCTGAAGACCATTGAAGGCATTGCTAATGGTTTGGAATTAGCAGATAATGACAAGGTTCGATGCGCGTCTTATAGCCTCACCATGGATGCTCGAATATGGTGGGAGACTGTGGAAACAAGGTATAACGTTGCGCAGATGACATGGGAGCAGTTCAAAGAGGAGTTCACCAACCAGTATTTCAATGCTAGTGTCACACGTAAGTACCAGGATGAGCTTCAGAATCTACGTCAGGGAACCATGGATGTAGCAACCTTGGCGGCACAATTTCAGAGACTACTACGTATTTGCCCTACAGCTGCTCCGACAGAGAGGGATAAGGTGAAGTTGTTCCTGAAAGCCCTTAGGAAGGATATAGCAGTTCACTTGGAGAACGGTAACCAGACCCCAGCTACATTAGTTGACTGTGTCCTTATAGCGAGTCAAAAGGAGTACTACCTCCCTACCGATCCAGTGCCCGCTCAGCCGCAACATGTGCCTTTACAGTCGCAGAATCAACCACAGGGATACACGAACAATTCAAAGAATAACAAGAAGAGAAGCTTTAAGGGCAGTGATGGCAAGGGAGTTGGACGTCATCAGGAGCGACAAAATAAACAGATGAAGTTTCCGCAGTGTGCGAATTGTGGCCGTAATCATCCAGGCCAATGCAGATTGGGTTCGAGAGCTTGCTTCACTTGTGGCCTTGAGGGACATATGTTCAAAGATTGTCCAAGAAAGAATCAGCAAGGCTACCAGATCACTCAGATGCCGAGGAATCCAGCACCTTCAGCGGTTGTCCATAATATGCAGGCTTATCTAGAAGGACCATCCATCCAGCAAGGACGTCTTGAAGCACCACCAGAGGCCCCGGTTGCTAGAGTGTTCACAATCTCAAGGGAAGAGGCATCGATAAATCCTGGCGTGGTCACAGGTCAGATACTTGTTCTTAGTAGATATGCTAATGTGTTATTTGACACTGGAGCTACGCATTCCTTTGTGTCTCTTGAGTTTGCTAGACCCTTAGCAGTACATCAAGATAAGTTAGATTATCAGTTCACCACAGCACTTCCGTCAGGAGATATCATGTTGTCGACTCATTGGCTACGAGCAGTGCCAATGAGTGTTGCGGGAAGAGAGTTATTTGTAGATCTGATTGTGCTCAACATGAAGGATTATGATGTGATTCTCGGCATGGATTTTCTGCAGAAGTATAACGCTTCAATTATATGCCGAAAGAGAATTGTTAGTTTTGCGCCTGCAGGGTCTGATCCTTTCTTATTTCTTGGGGAACCAAAAAGATCAAGGAAGGTGATGATTTCTGCATTGCAAGCAAGGAGACTTATTCGGGGTGGATGTGAAGCTTTCTTAGCTCATGTAGTAGGCAAAAACTCAGGGGAACCCATGCAGCTTTCTGAAGTTCCTGTTGTGGAAGGTTACAGTGATGTATTCCCCGAAGATCTCTCAGGATTACCACCCAGTAGAGAGATTGAGTTCGAGATTGAGCTGCTGCCCGGTACCGCACCGATATCTAGAGTACCATATCGAATGGCCCCAGCGGAGTTGCAAGAACTCCATAAGCAGTTGCAGGAGTTGCTAGAGAAGGGTTTCATTCGGCCCAGCTACTCGCCCTGGGGAGCTCCAGTATTATTCGTGAAGAAGAAGGATGGCACAATGAGGTTGTGCATAGATTACAGAGAACTCAATAAAGTGACTATCAAGAATAGGTATCCCCTGCCTAGAATTGATGACCTGTTTGACCAGTTGAAGGGAGCAGTGATTTTCTCCAAGATTGACCTTCGTTCAGGGTATCATCAGCTAAGAATCAAAGAAGGAGACATCCCAAAAACAGCTTTCAGGTCGCGGTATGGACACTATGAATTTGTGGTTATGCCGTTCGGCCTAACTAATGCTCCGGCGGCGTTTATGGATCTGATGAATAGAGTGTTCCGGGAGCTTCTTGACAAGTTTGTCATTGTTTTCATTGATGATATTTTGATCTACTCAAAGTCTAAGGAGGAGCATGAAGAACACTTGAGAGAAGTATTGGAGACACTGAGGAAACATAAGCTATATGCTAAGTTTTCAAAGTGTGAGTTCTGGCTTGACCAAGTAGCATTCCTTGGCCACGTAGTTTCAAAGCAAGGAGTTTCGGTGGATCCCTCAAAGGTAGCGGCTGTTCGAGATTGGAGCAGGCCAAAGAATGCGAAAGAAGTTCGAAGTTTCTTAGGCCTTGCGGGGTATTATAGGAAGTTTGTGGAAGGCTTCTCTGCTATAGCTCTTCCATTGACAACCTTGACCCGTAAGGGTAAGAAGTTTGAGTGGACTGATCGTTGTGAGAAGAGTTTCCAAGAGCTGAAAAATAGGTTGACATCTGCACCCGTCTTAGCACTCCCAGAAGGCAAGGAAAGGTTTGTTATCTACACAGACGCATCGAAGATGGGACTTGGAGCAGTTCTTATGCAGAATGAACGCGTTATTGCGTATGCATCTCGACAACTCAAGGAGCATGAGGCAAATTATCCCACCCATGACTTGGAGTTAGCAGCGGTGATTCATGCCTTGAAGATTTGGAGACATTACTTGTATGGAGTCCAGTGCAAGATCTTCACTGATCATAAAAGTTTAAAATATATATTCACGCAGAAGGACCTCAACATGAGGCAAAGAAGGTGGCTTGAGCTAGTGAAAGACTACGATTGTGAGATCCTTTATCACCCGGGAAAAGCCAACAAGGTAGCAGATGCACTTAGCAGAAAGTCTTCTGCAACAGTAATGGTTATGATGGTAATGGATCCAAAGTTGAGAAAGGAAATTGAAGATTTTGAGTTAGAGATTGTAAATGGGCGACTAACGGTTATGACAGTGACTCCATCAATATTTGAGGACATAGCTATAAAACAAGAACTTGATCCCGAGTTAGTTAAGTTGAAGGAGTGCGTCAAGGAGGGAAAATGTCCCGAATTCCGTTTGGATGAGAGTGGGAGATTATTACTTCAAAACAGATTGTGCATTCCAGACGTCGAGGGATTGAGGAAGCAGATTATGAAGGAGGCTCATGACACACCATTCACTATGCATCCTGGTTCGACCAAGATGTACCATGACTTGAAGAAAAACTTTTGGTGGTCAGGTATGAAGAAAGATGTTGCGAAGTTCGTCCAATCATGTCTGACGTGTCAACAAGTAAAGGCTGAACATCAAAGACCAGGTGGAGAGCTTCAGCCTATCCAGATTCCAGAGTGGAAATGGGATGAGATATCCATGGACTTTATTATGGGTTTGCCGAAGACAACGGGAGGTTATGACGCTATATGGGTTATAGTGGATAGATTGACTAAATCTGCTCATTTTATCCCAATTTCAGCAAGTATATCTTTGGAAAAGTTGGCAAAGTTATATATTCAGGAGATTGTGAGACTGCATGGTGTCCCGAAGAGTATTATTTCTGACAGAGATTCCAGATTTACCTCTCACTTTTGGAAGTGCGTACAACAATCATTGGGCACAAAGTTGAAGTTTAGTACTGCTTTTCATCCTCAGACCGATGGTCAGACAGAGAGGACAAACCAGATTTTGGAGGATATGCTGCGGGCATGTGCACTAGATTTTCAAGGAGGATGGGTGAAATACCTAAGTCTGGCGGAGTTTGCTTATAATAATAGTTATCAAGCAACCATCGGCATGGCTCCATATGAGGCGTTGTATGGGAGAAGGTGTAGATCTCCCATATCATGGTGTGAAACAGGAGAGAAGAAGATCCTAGAAGAGGAACTGCAAGGGAGGACTGAGTTGATAGATGAGACCTCAGAAGCTATTAAAACTATCCGGCAAAGGATAGAATCTGCCCAGTGCAGACAGAAAAGTTATGCAGATGTTCGGAGAAGGCCTCTAGAGTTTGAAGTGGGGGATTTTGTTTTCGTTAAAATAGCCCCGATGAAGGGAGTGATGCGGTTTGGAAAGAAAGGAAAGCTTAGCCCAAGATTCACCGGACCATATGAGATCACTAGACGAGTGGGGAAAGTAGCTTACGAGCTCGCGCTACCTGAAGAGTTTTCTGGCATTCATAATGTTTTCCATGTTTCGATGTTGAGGAAATACTTTGCTGATCCGGAGCATGTTTTGATACCACCATCAATAGAAGTGCAAAATGATTTGTCTTACGAGGAGAAGCCAGTACAAATTCTTGACCGAGAGGTTAGACGTCTCCGGAATAAGGAGATAGCTCTAGTAAAAGTGTTGTGGCGAAATGACAAAGTAGAAGAGGCGACTTGGGAAGCTGAGGACGACATGAAACGTCGTTATCCCGAATTGTTCTAAGTTTCGAGGACGAAACTTTTATAAGGTGGGAGGGGTTGTAACACCCCGATTTTAGCGATCTAGTTACTTTAATCTTTTATTTTATTTAGTCAGTTAAATAAGATTATTGTATGAATAATGTGATTTATTGTTTGATCATGTGTTTTTCTGGCAGGTAACGTTGACTGGTAAGCTCTAATAATTTTAAGTGGAGAAAATAAGTAATGTTTTAAAGTTTAATCAGTTGATTTCGAAATAGAAAATACTTTTAATGTGCTAGATTTCTTTTTTTAAGAGGTCATTAGAAGCCCAATTCAGTTAATTTGTCCCAGATAAATGTGTTTAGGGCTGAAATCCCTAGGAAGACAAAATAGAATATATAACCACCGTAAACCTTTGAGGATCGGCTCTTTTCCTTAGCTGCTACCGGCCGTTTCTTTCATCCTGGAATCTTTCTTTCCAACTCTCAAATTGTTGGCCAAAGATTTAATCAGATTGTCGTTCTGCATCCTTTAACAAGGTAAGCTGAATTCCTTTTCCTCTGTTAAATTACCTCCGTCTCTTCTTTTCTCTTTGAACTCTTAGATTCTTCCTCCCAGAATCATTCAGATTATAACATCTTCAATCAGCTATGATTATTTCTTTCTCTGTAATCGTTCTTCCTTACCTCTGTGAGTATAGATGATGGTGGCTGAGTTTTTTTTTTTTTTTTTTTTTGCTATTATAGTTTGATTAGAGGCATTTTAAACAGAGATGCGAATTTTTGCAAAATTAATCATTAGTTTAAAATTTTATCTGCAGCCTATTCTTCCACTACGTGATTTTATGATTTAGCAGATTTTATCCTTATTTTGGAATCAGCATTTAACACCTTAGTGTTTTAATTCAAATTTTGACTTTAAAGGGGCTGGTTAGTTCGGGTGTTAAACTAAACTTTAGTTTAGTAAACTTCCATCAGTTAATATGAAGTAGCCGTCCAGCAGTCAGTATTTAATATAGAAAATTTTAGTTTGTTATTAATTGAGAAAGTTTCAGTTTGGAGTTGATATGGAGAGTTTTCAGTTTTTGGTTTAATTTAGGTTGCACCAGTCTGTAAACTACATAAGCAACGTGATTTCTGAGATGGTGCACCTGCGCACATAGTGATAATTTTTATTTGATCTTAGCAGTAAGAAAGGATTTTCTTCCTCCAGTAAATTCTAATTATATTGTATATTTAAGTTGAGAGTTTTAAGAAGAGCTTACCGGAGGACGTTATCAAGGTGCCGCACTTATTTGAGTAATTTGAGTTCAGCTCCTAACAGGTAAGTTCACTACCACCTGTACATGTTTGTTCAACCAAATGCAAGAAAGAAGTCTGGTTGATTTTTAATAGATAATTTTAGACTATTTGCTATTATGTGAACTATGTGAATTATGTGATGAGTTATGTTATTTGCTGGATTAAATTATGTTTATTATCTGGCATAATCAAGATTTGTCAGTACTTTTGTTTCAGAATAAATGATATTTTTAGTCAAACGTCACCATAAAAAGAACTAATATTTAAAGTGAAAGATCAGGTGATATGTACTCGGGAACAAGTTCCCTCAGTTTATCAGTTATCAGCTTATCAGTTTCAGAGAGTCCGATATGTTTAGTGGGTCGCTCCCCTGAGCTGTCGGATTGGCGCCTTTTGAGTACATATCACGGGCCCACAGTTAAAATTAGCCACAAAGAGTTTACAGAAAGTTGTTTTGAGATCTCTTTCAGAAAGTTTTACAGAAAGTTGTTTATGAGATCTCTTCAGAAAGTTTTACAGAAAGTTGGTTATTAAGATCTCTTTCAGAGTTTTACAGAGATGTTTTTCTGAAATAAATTTTGAGATCTCTAGCAGTTTTGAGAAAATATTTTAGGAAATGTTTTCCCTTTGAGATCTCCCTCAGAATGTATTTGAGAAGTTATGTGTTAGTTATTTGTTCAGTGCGTGCTTATAGCCTAAATTTATCTATTGATAAATTGGCATAGACTTCTAGATATTTTTGTGGATCTATAGTGACTTACTAAGCGTAAAGCTTATCAGTTTCTTTCTTCGCATGTACAGATACTAAAGGTAAGGCCAAGGCCTAGGAAGGTGATGAGAGAGTGGAACGCGTGCCAAGACGAGTTACGGGGACGACCTTGGCGGCTTCCAGCTAGCTATTATTATATTTCAGTATTTCAGTTCTTATAGTTAAGAGATTGTTATTACTTTATTTTATTTTATTTGAGGATTCGAGTTTGAATAAATTCCTGGATCCAGGTGGTTATCACATTTGCTAGTGATAACTAGACTTTATTGAGTTTTTATTTGGAGTTAAATTTTAGCTACATTTGAGATTTTATCAGGGTTATTTCTTAAACAAACGGCCGTTATATTGCAGTTTATTTTTAAAAGTAGTATGCTAGTGTAGCGTTCCCTTTAACCCTGAGAGGGGCGTTACATTAACACTCCTGAAACTCGGTAGGATATTATGAAGGTAGAATGTAGCTCTTAAGCTAGGCATTCAGGAATGAAAGGGGAAAGGTTGAGTGAGTACCTTGTCTCTAAAAGACTCTTTTGTGAGAAAATGACCTACGGGTCAAGTATTTTACAAGTATATACACCATGTATTATCTTGGGAATGGGGTGACAATGGTTACACCTATAAATATATGTATCATCCTATTTTTGGGTCTCGTGTCTGAGACATTAGTTATTCCTCATATAGCCTGCTTGTCACTAGTACTTCTATGGAGTACTGACCCCTTCGGGGGCCCTCACATTTTTCAGGTTGAGGCTAGAGTCCTGCTACCTGCACCTTTGCCCAGGGTGAACTCAAATAAGGAAGACGTGGTTCGTGCTTCCATTCTTATTTGAAATTATGAAATTGCTCATGGATATTTGAACGATGTTTTCTATTAAACTATTGAGGGGCCTGCGTGCCCATGTTTGCCACATGTGGCTGAATGTCAAACTTATTTTATTTCCGCATTCGTTTGACTATTATATTGATGTTGATTGTATGGGTTTACTAATCGGTTTGGCAATAGAATCTATCGGACGCCTTGTATGATTTGATAAGAATGAACTACGTTGTTCTTATTGGGTTGTACGGCGGTTGTCTACGTGGCACGGACGCGGTCCGGGGCGTGACAAGACAGATGCGAGTCAGGCCTTAGAGTACCTTGCGTACGATGGAGATGGAAGATGGAAGGGGCTGATTCAGGAAATGAGGCTACTTCAAAATAGGAAAGGGGTGTTGGTCGGTTCCATTTGGCGTGAAGCTAATTGGACGGCCCACTATCTGGCCGGTACCTCTTCGGGTCAATTTCAACAGTTTAATAGGCCCGGTGATTTACCCATTCAGGCCCGTCAGGCTTACTTTGGTGATTTATTTGGGATTCCCTCTCTTAGATTAATTTAATTTTGTTGGGTTTATTTGTATATTTTGGGTAAGGTTTGGTCCCCCCAAAATCCTTTTTTTCACTGTCGCTTTCGTTTTTGTGTTTCATTTATCGGGTCTGGTCTAGCCCCCCAATTTTTCTTGTATTTCCTGAGGGTATGCCCTCAGGAAGAGGTTTTGGTCTAATCCCCCTCTTCTCTATACTTATTTCATTATTAATAAAACATGGCAAATGTTCCCCGGCATTTGCCCCACTGATTTTGGTGGTTTACCTTCCGGGTTAAAAAAAAAAAAAAAAAAAATTGAAATAACCAGCTTGCCTCTAATTTGCATGGCAATTTCAATTAGTTGTCTGTTACTTGCTCTGATACCTTTACTATATCTGATTGTTTGTTTCGTACTCTTACTATTTTCCTATGCCAAGTGCCTACCAAGATTTTAAATGAAAGTTTATTCAACTTATTTTCCTTCATGGTGAAAGGCACTTCTCTGGAAATAGTTTAAGGGTTTTGGCATCATCAAAAAGGGGGAAATTGTAAGGAATAAATGTAATTAGATTTTGATGATGCTAGGATAATTAGATTAGAATTTTAAAGTACCCCTATTAGATTTTATGTATTAGAATCTTCAGTTGTAAGTATTAGTGTAGTCGACGATCAGAGTTGCTCTCTTATGGATCTGATCAGAGCTGCTATATGAGAACTGCTATCAGAATTGCTCTCAGGAAGTCATGAGAGTTGCTCATCAGAGAAGCATCAGAGTTGGATGTATAGCTTCATCAGAACTCAACATCAGAGAAGCATCAGAGTTCGATGTATAGCTTCATCAGAACTCAAGATCAGAAAGCATCAGAGTTCCCACACCAGAGCTTGACTTGAAACTACATCAGAACTACTCATCAGAAAGTCGTCAGAATCCAACATATCAGAAGAGCCCGATCAGAGTCAGACTAATACTTAGAAGAACTTCAAGGCTACTTGCAACGGTTGGGAATTCATCAACGGCTAGAAGATATTCCGTCCAAGGAAAGTATTTAATGCTCATTAAATGAGCCTGATACACTCTGGGTTGATTGCAAATGATTGACCGAGAAATCTGGAAGATATATTATAAAAATAGAAAGCTTCCAAATTAATGGGTCAAGTCAACAGTACGCGCATTCAATGCAGTTGTCTCCTCCTCCAACGGGCAGACAACCCCAGTATATAAGCTACACACTGAAGAAACAAGAAGATAACTTTGCTACAACTTTTGCTCATCATACTTCAAGCTCTCTTGAGATTCAAACTCAACAATCATCAACAAGACAAGCTTACGTTGGGAAGATTAAAATACCCATATTCTCCAAACCCAACACACAGCAAAGTTCATCCTGCTCTTCAACGAAACAAGTTGGAGAAAAGTCTGTTTTCAGAACATCTTCTGCAAAGAAGGGCGTCCAAGTAACTGCAGTAGTGAAGTGGTGATACTTCCGGGAAGCTGAGTGAAAGGACCAGCCATCAGGACGTGGAACTGCATCCTGGGTGGCAACTAGGCTTGAAGAAGACGTGGAGAGCTTCTTAAGTGCTAGGGGACTAAGCTTTGTAACCGTTTACTTCAAAGCTAGTGGAACAGTGGACTAGACGAACGCGTTGTTCCTTGAACCACTATAAAAACCTCGGTGTCATTTACTTTACAGCAATTTAAATACTGCACTCAGGATTTTAACTGTATAACTCTAAGACTTGGACTCTGTGTTCAGCAGATCTTGTTCTCAGAGTTATCAGAAAGGCACTTGCCTTAGTATTTGTTTGAGGCTACCCGGAATTCTTATCCACTGCAAGACCAGTTCTGATCATCAGAACTCGACCTTCTCTGATAAGTCAACTCTGACTTAGAGAAAAGTTGAAAAACTTGAATCAGTCTATTCACCCCCCCCCCCCTCTAGACTGATTACCAACTCACACGGGACCAACAGAATTCAACCTCAATCTTGACGAGGCCGGTATACATAGGAAGCTCCAATTACAAGAATTGGAAGAACTCTGCCTGGATTCTTATGACAATGCGGAGATTTACAAAAGAAATACGAAGGAGTGGCATGATAAAATGATCATAAGGAAGGATTTTAAACTTGATGACAAAGTCCTCCTATTTCAATCACGCCTTCGTCTATTCCCGGGAAAGTTGAGATCCCGTTGGACCGGACCATACAAAGTGGTCAAAATCTATCCACACGGGGCGGTGGAAATTGAAGACCCGGAGACGGGAGAAGTGCTCAAAGTGAACGGACAGAGACTAAAACCCTTCTTTGAGGGTTTTCAACCCAAGAACGTGGAGATCATAGACCTTTCTGAACCGGTCTATGAATAAAGGAGAAACGAAGATATCGTCGAGCCACGACGTTAAACAAAGCGCTTCTTGGGAGGCAACCCAAGCAAGGTATGTTTTCTGTATCATTTTATCAAGTAGAGTGTGTGAGTTTAAAATAAAAAAAAAATGATACCTGGGGATATACCCGCTCGAGTATTGATACATACTCGGGCGGGTATTAATGAAAAGAAGAACCCGAGTTCAGTACTCGATCGAAATAGCCAGATTTTTTCAAAAAATAGAGGCATACTCGATCGGGTATATGACTGTACCCGGTCGAGTATGAGCTGAAATGAGAAGAAGAAAAAAACCCGTCTCCAGTACTCGATCGAGTACAGGTTGATACTCGGTCGAGTATAACGGGAAAAAACTACTTTACTTCATCCCTGCCTCCAGTACTCGATCGAATATAGGTTGATACTCGGTCGAGTATACTCAGAAAAGTCACTCTCCCAACTCCCTGTCCCCAGTACCCGATCGAGTATAGGGGGATACTCGATCGGGTACACCTGCGAATTTAACCCCAAAAACACTCCAAAACACTTCATCTTCCCCAACATTCCCAAAAACTTCGAACCTCCAACACCCCAACCTCCATTTTTCAACCTTCTCTCTACCATATCTCCCTCATTTCTTCACCAAATCAACCCATTCCACCACCAAAATACTCCCCTCCCTCTCCTCTCCATATCTATACCCATCAATCCTATTTTCCCCAAACTTCCACCAAATCCAAAAAAACCCTACCCCCATTCGAATTTCTGATTTTTAAGCTCAAAAGCTTCAAAAATGGCTCCAAGGAAGAATAGAGGAGAGAGTTCAAACACCATGGCACCTATTCCGGGCTTTGAGGACCTCATTCCCGCCGATAACGAGCACCGGGCTAGACTCCTCTCAACGATTAAAAGGCAAGTAAAACCTTCTTGTTTTCTATGCCACAATGCTCTCCATGAATTGGGTGTGTATAAGAGTATGAAAAAGTTCTTTCATGAGTTGAGTATGGACCGTATTTTCAAAATGAAATACAACTTGAATGAAAGAATTATCTATGAATTCATAAGCTCGGTGCAATTTGAGAGTAATGAGGATGACTTTAGGGATGATAGACTCAAGTTTCGTTTGTTCAATCAAAACTATTCGATTACAAAACTTGAGTTTGCCGAACATTTTGGCATCCCCGTGCCCTACGAGAGAGCCATCTCGGATAACACCATTTTCGGGCACTCCCTATGGACAAAGATGACCGGGGAAGTGAAATTTAGTTCCTCCCAAATGTATATTAGTCATGTCCAACACCCCGTCCTCCGGTTATTCTTGAAATTTTTAGCGAATTGTTTGCTTGGACGTCCCAACAACCACCACACTAGGATCGGGGAAGTGTGTTTGATGTCTGTGGCTTTATTCCGTCGTCACGTGGA